AAGTATTGGAGTTGCATCTCGAAATTTTAAAAGATTAGCAATATTCCTTGTATATACACGCATCAAGGAGCATCCAATATGTACCCTATCATGTACGCTCTTGATATTTTTTTCATTTTTGGAATATCAGGGCTTCACAGCATACCGCAAACCCTAATTGCCAAATGGATCGTTCTATCACTGAAAATATATCTATACTTACTTGGGCTTCAGTTTCTTGTTCTTTCTTGACAGAAGCTTCAGTCTTGATAGGATCTCCTTTCTGCTGCTTTTGTTTTCTTAAGCGAACATACTTTCTCCTATGCTCCTCAATTTTGCGTGCATTAGGTTCAACCTGTCCAGTAAAAAAAAATACAATTACAAAGAGCACAAGGATTCCTTCTGCAGGTTTCATGTGTCGAAAGAAGGTAAATTACCTTTTTAAGTACCGTACTTAGCTCTTCATCAAAATCTAACTTTGAAGCCACATGAAGGTCACTTGCTGCTTCTTCCCATAGTCCCAACATAGCCCTCGACATTCCTCTAACTTTGTATCCTTTGGCTGAGTCGGGGTTAATCTGGAACAAATAATAGATCCTTGAGTACAGAAACTCGTGGCACAGATATTGCTTTCACACCATATTTCTATGAGATAAGGAATAAAATAAACCTTCAAGGCAGTGTCAGCATCCCGTATAGCAGCGTTTGGCTTCTTCAGTTTCACAAAGACACTAGCTGAAAACAAGAAATCGAGATTTCCAAATGATACAGAGGGTAAAACGAACAATAAACTGTAAAGTGGGAAGAAAACAATACCGAAAGAAATTTATCGAAAGGCATTTGATTCTGGTAGGAATACACAGAGAGAATCCGTACCTCTTGTAGCATAAAGTATAGCTGATTGGGGATTCAACAAAATGGCTTCTGTCAGTTGGTCCAGTGCTTCGTCCAAATTACCTAAAAACTCATTAAAAAAAACTCAATTTTTAAACAAAAATAATGTCCAAAAAGCTTAAGTTGAGAGATTTGAGAGAGAGAGTAAACTATAAGTAATCATGAATTGAATTGCCTTCTGAGATAGCATCGACTGCTTTTGACTTTGCTAGTTGAGCAGCATTCATATTTTCTTCCGTCACTTCAACAGAAGGATCTCCCATCTGCAATAGCAATATAGCTTAAATTACAGAGTTGCTGAAACGTGGAAGGCATTGCAGTGAGTCCATACGCACAAACCATACACAATATATAATACCTTTTGAGGAGGGTCATTATCAGGTTCAACAACATCGGCATTATCCAACTCTATATCAGATTCTACAAGGTCGTCTTGAGCAGATAAAGGAGGGTCTGGCTTCTCCTCATAAGAATCACCTGGTTCCTGCATAAGTTGAGTGAGTAATAAAAAACGGAGATTCCAAAATTGATTCAGAAAATATGAAAAGGAGAGGGGAGGCTCACCGTTTTGGGTTGGGGAGGGATACGAGCACCGAGGCTGCAGCAGAGGGAGAGTGTGAGCGAGTGAGCGAGTAAGCGAGTGAGCGAGAATTGGGAGAAAGAGATGAAAAATGGGAAGAAAGCGAAACCTGAGGAGATAAGCCTTGAAGAAGGAAAGGGATGGAATGTGGAGGAGTGAGGGATTGGACCTGCATGACTCTATGAACTGCTTCAGCTCTCTCAGTTTCTCTTCCTCCATGCTCTCTCTCTCTCCGCCGAACAGACACTCCGATATAGGGTTCCGTCCGATCCACTCTTTCAACTCCAACACGCCTACAACTTTGCTCTATTTATAATTTATAATCAACGAATCCTTCCAAATTTGTCTTATTGGTATTATGTCATAAAATATTTTTTTAACAATTTTTTTTACGCTCGCTTATATGATAACTCTGTGATTCATCTATTTTAAATACACGAATCAATAAAACAAAACAGTAATACTTAATTTATTCTCAAAAAATTATTAAAAAAAATTATTAATATATCATGATCCATCGTATAATCATATAAAATAGGCTGAATACCTATTTTGTCCCCAGTTTCGCTCGAAAATGTCAAATTAGTCCATCCTTTAAAAAATGCGTCAATTACGTCCCCACTTAATAAAATTTGCATCAATGAACTTCCGTTAAATCCGTACAAACGGCGTTAATTATTTTTCTCTCTTATTAAGTAACGCCGTTTGTACGGATTTAACGGAAGGGATTTCATTGATGCAAATTTTATTAAGTGAGGACGTAATTGACCCATTTTTTAAAGGATGGACTAATTTGACATTTTCGAGTGAAACTGGGGACAAAATAGGATATTAAGCCTATAAAATATGAATCTCAATTGTTTGTTAAGTTAGTTTACTCATTCCTAATGATAGAAACGTAATTTTATAGAAATGTTAACCATGTATTATACTTTTAAATGTTTTTTTTAATTAATTTACATTAAAATAAAGTGTGTGTAAGTTGTATGCATATTCACATGTAATATTAATTAGATTTTTTTCATATAAAATTAGATGTCATAAGCTACTTTTGAATAAATCTCACTTTGAGGGATTCCTGAGAAGAAGAAAAAACCATGTCTTCCACTAAAATATTTTAATTAACTTTAAAAATAATATCTCAGTTAAAAATTAAATTGTTATTTTGGGTTAAAAAATTAAATAGGTAGATAACGTGGAAGTTAAGACAAATAGATATGGTTAGAAGGTTAAAACGAATCAATTTGAGATAAAGTCTAGATAGATCAGTTTATGCTTAAGGTTGACATGAGTCGACCCAAGTAAAATATTTTCAAAGGCGAACCATGATTGAAACTTGATTGAATTCGATCATTAGAAAAATATGGTCGAAATTAGGTTGAATTCGACCAAGTTTTTTGTTGAATTTTTGGAGTCGGTCTCGATTGAAATTCTACCAAGTCAGCTACAACTGAAATTTTGTCGAATTCGACAAGTCAGTCTCTATCATAATTTGGTCAAATTCGCCCAAGTCGACCCCTACCAAAGTTCAACTAAATTTAGATAAGTAAAATCAAACTGAAATTTGGTCAAATTTGTCCAAGTAACTCTCAACCGGAATTTAACCAAGTCAAACTCGGCTTAAATTCGATCAAATTTGGTCATGGCCTAAATTTGATCAAATTCGTTCAAGTTCACTACTACTGAAATTTGGTAGAATTTTGTTGAGTCAATTCTAACTAAAATTTAGTCAAATTCGATCAAGTCAATCACGACCAAATTTTGGTCAATTTTTGCTGAGTTCTCTCTGACCAAAATTCAACTAAATTTAACAAAGTACAACAATCGAAATTCAGCTTAGTGATCTTGGACGAATTCAGTTGAGTTAGTCATAACTGAAATGGGCCAAATTTAATTATGTCAGTTCTGACTTAAATTTGTTGGAATTCAACTTAGTTAATACTATCCAAAATTTAGTTGAATCCTATCGAGTCAACTCTGAATAAATTTAATTGAGCCAATCCTGACTCAGATTGAGATTGGTCATCCCCTAACTTAAGATAATCTGATTAGTTTGATTGAAAATTGTGACAAGTCTATTTAAACTAAAAGTTGAGATAACTAAACTTAAATCGAAAGTTTAATAATATATTTTAAAAAATAATATTTTTTCATAAAGAAAAGTTTCAACTTTTATCCATGAAACTTTGGTGAACATTTTAATCACGTGGGCTTTTTCAAAGGATGATTTTCTTCCTATGATTTTTTGTTTTTGTTTGCCCAAAAGAATGTGAGTTAAGGCCGGACTTTTTCAATTGGAGGATTTCTTTTTCCTATGAGTTTTTTTTGGACCAAAGCATGTGAGTTAAGCCATAGGACCAAATTGATACCTCTACATAAAGTAATTAAATGAGAGAATGTGTGTGTTTAGATAGCATAATGAATTAAACACTTATGCTTTATTTGTTTCAAAACAAGTAAATTATGGTGTTATTGTTGTTTGGATAACATGACGTGCAACAAAATCAAAGTGTTGATGTGTTGGAAAAACTTAGATTCGGTCCCTACAAGGTTGAAGAGATTTTTACATGCATTGTAGAGTTACTCTTCATTTTTTCACATCCATTGCAGATATTCAATTACATGCCGATAAGATATTCCTAATGATTGTCATAGACTCAAATATTCTTTAATGTTGAAAGTGACATTAAGAAGGTGAGTTGATCATTTTGGCTTTACATTGTTTCCTTAATTTTCTTGCTTTGTGGTTGTACGGTTGGTGTTAGATGAGTTCCATGTTTTCTCATCATTTTTTCTTGAAATCTTTCCATTGTATTTCCATGGCTACTTTTTGAGTTTCTTTCATTTCCTCATAAAACAATTCAATTTCTTCCATTATATCCAACTCTATACTCTTAACTTCCTGCATTTTACTTATTCTTTATCACCTAGAATACTGTTATGTTCTCATCCAGTGATTGTGAGAGAAAGAGTGAATTCATGGTAATAAATGGAAATGAGCACATTCTAGAAACACAGTAGAGGAAAGTATATCTTTGGTCATGATGAGCCCTTATAAACACTGAAGCTGCTTGATTATCTGTCTTTTTTACATGATTGATTTGAAAGGTGGCGGAGAAAAAGAAAGAAAAAGTTAGATGCTACCAAGAGTTTTTCAGGATAAGGATTTACTTTGGAAATATAATCAGACACAGAGCGCAAAGTTTTAGGAAAACAAGAAGACAAAAGGTTCAGCTTTGAGATAAATATTAAATACTATTTTTAATATGTAATTAACTTTTTAATTGTTAGAAATAATATATACAAAAGAAAATATATTTATTAAATTTAAAGAATGTGAGTGAAGAATTTGACGAGGCACTCCGGTATCATCAGTATCATTTTCTTTGCCAATAAATAAGGTATTTGTTTCTCATTAGCCTTATGAAATACAGTGCATTCTTCTCCTTGAACCTTTACTTTACTTTCTCTGATCTCTCATGTATTCTTCTTTTACCTTTACTTTTTCTCTGATCTCTTTCTATTCTTCTTGTATCATTCTCTGATCTCTTTCTCTGATTTTTTTCTGTCTTCTCTTTCAATGCTTCTGTTCATGTTTATCTCTATATCTTCTTGCCTTTTTGTTACTCGTTTTTTCTTTTTATGGTTTAATAACAAACATATTTCGCACAACTTCAATGGAATGTGTATATACTCACGGGTACATACTTCATACTTTGATGAATATGAATGCTAGTACACTCTCAAGGTATAGACGAGAATGAATGCTAATTTATCAGTCATGTTTGTCATTTAATTTTGTCAGAAAAAAGATAGAAAGAAAAAAAGCTACGTAGTTTTTCGTTTAGGAGCTTTTAATTTTGTATCATTTTGCAGATGCAGATGGCGAACAATAAGTGTGATGAGTCTATGACGAAGAAAAACATAGATTTTGCGAATATGGAGGAACTACTTCAATCACAGAAACAACAAATTACTGATTTAGAAAATACAAATATTCTGAAAGCTGATCGAAAGAAACATTTACAGGAGAGTTTAAAAGTGGTTCTGAATACGATAAAGAGAGAAACTTTGATGGATAAGGAATGTGTGAAAGGTATGTATATTTTTCTTGTTTTTGAGTAGTGGTTGTAGTTAGTATTAAATTTATCTGTATCGAAAACTCCTTGGATATTTAAATATTTTTTCTTTACCTGGAAAATTAAGATGTATTACTCTTCACCAGTCATGCTTGTTCTTTTAATACTTGAACTTCTTTTTTGTCTTAGTCTCTTGTACAGTGTATCATTGAAATATGGCTTTGATTGCTTCTTGTGTTTTGGACCTTATACGCTAAAACATAACTTGAAAAAATTTCAGAATTAAAACAATTGAAAGTGATGAACTCTAACATGAGTGATGAGCTGGAACGTTTGAAGAAAGAGAATGAAATGATGACAAAGGAATTGTCAGAGAGTAAGTCATTAACTGATCAGCTGAAGGAGAAACTTTCTGAGGAGAATATGCGGATGACGATGAAACTTATTGAAGAGAATGGTCGGATCATAAGGAGATTTACCGAGGAGAATGGGCGGATCATGAGGGAATCGGAAAGAAGTGAAGTCCTAAATGATATACAGCCGAAGAATTTTACTGAAGAAATTCGAAAGGTTAGTGGCAGTCAGAGCCTTTGGATTTATGTTAAATTTAATGGAAGCTTGTTTTTTCTTTTTATCAGTATGAGGTAGAACCATGAAGTTGTTTTGATACATCCTAAGGATGAGTTTAAATTATAGTGTAATTTGTTCTAATTTGACAAGTTGGCCTCAGAATAATATATTAGAAATGTTGTTCTAATTTGACAAGTTGGTCTCAATAATATATTAGAAATGGTATCAACAGGATGACTATGAAAAACTCAAAGCAAAAGTGGTTGTGCTTGAAGAAGAACTANAATCCTTCCAAATTTGTCTTATTGGTATTATGTCATAAAATATTTTTTTAACAATTTTTTTTACGCTCGCTTATATGATAACTCTGTGATTCATCTATTTTAAATACACGAATCAATAAAACAAAACAGTAATACTTAATTTATTCTCAAAAAATTATTAAAAAAAATTATTAATATATCATGATCCATCGTATAATCATATAAAATAGGCTGAATACCTATTTTGTCCCCAGTTTCGCTCGAAAATGTCAAATTAGTCCATCCTTTAAAAAATGCGTCAATTACGTCCCCACTTAATAAAATTTGCATCAATGAACTTCCGTTAAATCCGTACAAACGGCGTTAATTATTTTTCTCTCTTATTAAGTAACGCCGTTTGTACGGATTTAACGGAAGGGATTTCATTGATGCAAATTTTATTAAGTGAGGACGTAATTGACCCATTTTTTAAAGGATGGACTAATTTGACATTTTCGAGTGAAACTGGGGACAAAATAGGATATTAAGCCTATAAAATATGAATCTCAATTGTTTGTTAAGTTAGTTTACTCATTCCTAATGATAGAAACGTAATTTTATAGAAATGTTAACCATGTATTATACTTTTAAATGTTTTTTTTAATTAATTTACATTAAAATAAAGTGTGTGTAAGTTGTATGCATATTCACATGTAATATTAATTAGATTTTTTTCATATAAAATTAGATGTCATAAGCTACTTTTGAATAAATCTCACTTTGAGGGATTCCTGAGAAGAAGAAAAAACCATGTCTTCCACTAAAATATTTTAATTAACTTTAAAAATAATATCTCAGTTAAAAATTAAATTGTTATTTTGGGTTAAAAAATTAAATAGGTAGATAACGTGGAAGTTAAGACAAATAGATATGGTTAGAAGGTTAAAACGAATCAATTTGAGATAAAGTCTAGATAGATCAGTTTATGCTTAAGGTTGACATGAGTCGACCCAAGTAAAATATTTTCAAAGGCGAACCATGATTGAAACTTGATTGAATTCGATCATTAGAAAAATATGGTCGAAATTAGGTTGAATTCGACCAAGTTTTTTGTTGAATTTTTGGAGTCGGTCTCGATTGAAATTCTACCAAGTCAGCTACAACTGAAATTTTGTCGAATTCGACAAGTCAGTCTCTATCATAATTTGGTCAAATTCGCCCAAGTCGACCCCTACCAAAGTTCAACTAAATTTAGATAAGTAAAATCAAACTGAAATTTGGTCAAATTTGTCCAAGTAACTCTCAACCGGAATTTAACCAAGTCAAACTCGGCTTAAATTCGATCAAATTTGGTCATGGCCTAAATTTGATCAAATTCGTTCAAGTTCACTACTACTGAAATTTGGTAGAATTTTGTTGAGTCAATTCTAACTAAAATTTAGTCAAATTCGATCAAGTCAATCACGACCAAATTTTGGTCAATTTTTGCTGAGTTCTCTCTGACCAAAATTCAACTAAATTTAACAAAGTACAACAATCGAAATTCAGCTTAGTGATCTTGGACGAATTCAGTTGAGTTAGTCATAACTGAAATGGGCCAAATTTAATTATGTCAGTTCTGACTTAAATTTGTTGGAATTCAACTTAGTTAATACTATCCAAAATTTAGTTGAATCCTATCGAGTCAACTCTGAATAAATTTAATTGAGCCAATCCTGACTCAGATTGAGATTGGTCATCCCCTAACTTAAGATAATCTGATTAGTTTGATTNTCTTTTCACATTTACATTCGACACATTCCCTTAACATAGATAATGAATATGATGAGTATTACTTGGTTGTTTCAGCAAGTTTTAAACGAGGAAGATGGAGATCTCATAAGATTGAAAGAAGAACTGGGTTTTAGAGCATATAAAGCAGTGGTGGCAGCTCTGAAGGAAATGAATGAATACAATTCGAGTGGGAGGTTCATTGTAAGAGAAATGTGGAACAAAGAAAAAGCAAGGAGAGCTACATTGAAAGAAGGAATTGAATTCATGATAAATCAAACAAAATCAAAAAGAAGGAAAACGGTGGATGATGAAGATAGTGAGAATCATGATGATGGAACTCCATCTATAACAAAAGGCTCTGAAGTTTGATAACCATCTGTGTTTATATTCATATTTAAATAGACAAATAGGTTGGTTTAGCGAACTTAGTAACTTTTTGTTAGGTCAGAGCCTGGCTTATTTAACTATGTAAATCTGGTCTATTCTCCCATCCAGACACTCTTGTGTCTTTGGTTATTAGTAACTTTTTGTTAGGTCAGAATCTGGCCTATTTAACTATGTAAATATGGTCTATTCTCGTCTCCAGACACTCCTGTGTATTTGGCTACTAGTAACTTTATGTTAGGTCAGAAACTGTCCTGGCCTATTTACCTATGTAAATCTGGTCTATTTTCACTTCCAGACACTCCTGTGTATTTGGCTATAAATTGTTCACGTTTGTGTTATCTTAGTGTTATTTTTACTTGTCGTGAGATTTAGATTTTATCAGTAATAATTTTTAGAGTATGTTTGGGAAGATTTGCCTTTCATAAATGTGAGGAATTCAAATACATGAAGCAAATGCACAAACTATCCTTTGCCTACTATTTAGCTGTGTTTTACCACTGGACAATTACCTATCTTACAACGCTCTAAAAGCTAGTTGTAGAACCCCTTTTGTTCCTTAAAAATGTAACTATTTTCTGTTTGGTATATCATTTTGTATGAACAAAAGCACATAACTTGCAATTATGACTGAATTAATTTGTTCAAATTCAGCAAGAAAAAACTTGGCAGTTTGCAAACAGAAGTATTTATACTGTCATGTCAACAGGTTTGTGCTGTAAATTCATAATTTATGTCCTTGGATACTGCTTTTGAAACAGGGGAAAAATATGACAATACTGGTATGCAAAATGTGATAGCAAAATTGGAAAGGGTGAAGTTAGTAATTGCTCTGGATTTTTCACGGGCAATATAAAAAAAGATTATAAAAGATAGCTTTATTAATGAATTGATTTGATTGATGAATTATAAAAAACAGAGTTAAAAAATCCCAATTTTCCATTGAAAAACCACGGACTTATGAACAAGATCCTTGAGATGGACCAAGCTCCACAATTTTCTAGCACAATCAATTGCTTCACCTGTTACCTATTCCTGTTTTTGTCAGAAACATCATTTTTTGTACTCGTGGGATTTCCACTATTTCCATCAAATCATCTTTACACTAACTAAATATATATCCATTGTAATGGTAGTTAATTTTCCAACTAATTAGTTGCTTAAAAACCAAAGTAAATCCAACGATGTTGCTAAACCTGTAGTTCGTGAATGGTCAAGATTCGAATGGCATGTCAAAAGTAATGGTAGCATCAGTGATGAATGTAACCATGGTTTTCTAGAACTGAGAAAGACACGAAGTTGGGACACTTGACAACTTCTGCACGTGTTCAAGGCATGACAGAAACACAGATGTTAGATATCATGGTATGAGGAAGGCTGCATCACTTGCATATTCTAGTGACAACTATTTGTACTGTCCTAGGGCTGTACAACCCTTATAATGTTGGCTTTCTCACGTTCTCTCATTTTCCTGTAATGAAATTTTCATTAAGTACATGTCATTACGGATTGGGTGAAAGATGATTGTGAATAGTTTGAAGTATTTGGCAGACAATACCTGTTGTATATGGATATTTTCAGGGTTATGCATCAAGATAAATGTTATTGTTTGTCACTAATTTGTTAATTTGTTAACATTTTTTGTAATGTTCAACGAAATAACTTTGAGGCAATATTAATTATGTTTTTTCGTCAATATCATAAAAAAGTTGGTACAATAATTTCAACTAATAACACCATAAAAATGATTTCAATCCGTGTCAGTACAAGTAATTTTGATCAATACTAATTAAAAATAATTTCAATCGATACCATCACGAAAAAGTTTGTCCATTTCACTAGAAACTTTTTTAAATAACTTTACAAATAATAACATCGACAAAAATTGAAAAGAATAATAAAAATTCATACTAAGGTAGAAGAAGTCTTCCTACCACTATATCATGAAAATATGCTCCATATCCATCATAGCTGTAAAGAGATTGCATAGAACATGAATCACAGCATGTACTTCCAATAATAATGTATTTTAATTGTAAGTGTTTTCGTTTGTGGCCCTTACAATAATAGTATCCGACAATAAAATAAAATGTTACCAAAATTGTTACATTTTATTATGTCATTGTCATCGTAAAAAAAGATAAATGTTTATTTTATTAATGATAGAAAATACATCGCACTTAAATGTTATCATTTCACCGTCAAATCCCGAATTAAAGAAAAAACAATGACAAGATATTCATGTAAAATATTTATGATGTTTAAAAGATGTAAATATTTTTCTTTGTTTGTTATTAATAAAAAGCAATAATTTTATTTTGATTTAAAGTTTTCGACATTGGACAAATAAATAACACACCAACCACTTAATAGCATTGTCGCTTGTATTTTTCTTATTGGTTTCAAATGCATTTTATCATTTTGTATTTGATCATCAATTGTTTTTTCATTTTGTCTCTTGTAAACAAATTTATTTGTTTTTGTCTCTAATTTTTTTGACACAATGGCAGTAATGAGTAATCCATTAAGTGTTGATGTCACGGATTAAGCACGATGACAAATTTATATTTCGAACTTCTTTGTTTAATGAAAAACCCAAAAAGAGAATGGAGATATACGTAATATACTTTTTCTAGGATTTTTCATCTACTTTCAATCAGAGGATAATAACACTATTTCTAGCCCATTAACTGATTGCTTTTTTTTTTTCCTTTAAAGAACACAATAAAAAAAATGCACATAAAAGTTGAACTCAACTATCATTGCCATTAACTCAGCCAACTAATCACTGGCTAATTAAAGAAAGGGACGAAATAGAAACTGTTTTTGCTGAATGGAATCGGGAAAAACTCCTGCTACCTCTGTCCGGAAACACTCCTCCTTCACCGATCGGTCCGTCTCCTCTAGTTTCCGGTGCGCTCGGTATCAGAATAAGTGGGGTGACCTGCAAGAAACACTCCGACGCTCAAGTCAGAATTGGCAAGTCTATGTAATTATCACAAAACAGAGAGTTTACCTTCTCCTTCGATTGGTATTTATATGGTTTCAGAGAATATTACCCATTAATTTACCTCTTAATGGCTTTCAATGTTAATCTTAAATACTCGACAACGACCGTTACCTCATTAATTACACATTCATGAGCATTCAACCGCTGTCTCCAAACAGTTTTAGAGACCCGCATCATATTAGACTAAAAAACCCGATCGAACATATTATATTTGAGAGATCCGATCGGACACGTCTGTGCACTCCCGGTCGGTTACTCCGCCCTCTGTAATAACATAAACTAAAAATTTCATGTGGAACTAAAATGAAAAAGCAAGATGTAAAAACTATTAGGGATAAAAACACAAGCTTTGACATGCAGTTAAAGTTTTACAGCAGAAGACATAGTATAACGGTCGTGAAGCTTGAACCAAGACGCAGAATAGGACAGAGAGCAATAACCAAGAGACAAAGGCTTAGTAATAATAACTTTTGTCTCTCACATCACTTTCTGCTTATTTTGTTTCTAACCTCTTCTAAGGTGTGGTGTAGCCCCTGAAAACACCAGGTGCCCCCACACCCAACAAAATATGCCCATCGCCCATAACAGTACATTTTACAACTATAAACCACAATTCTATTATTTCAAGTTCAGCCCACAATCACTGCCGACCATAAATTGATGCTTAAATTTCAAAATCTAGATTAAGAAAAGATAAGAAGCATTAAAACCACTCATGCTTTTGTTGGAAACATGTCAAAATATTGTTTTGACTGGTTAAACACACCTATGGCATAAACACTAAACACAGCAAACAATCACATCTTGTTGGATTTCGCAAACATCGCTTTAGTTTTGACAATTTATATATACATATATATACATCACCTAACAATTTTAATTTTATCCTTTCTGTAGGGATATTCTATAATAGTGTTTTCTTTTCTATGTGATGTGAGCATATCAATAAATCTTAAACCAACTGGCAAATGAAGGATGAATTAATCAAAGTTGGTTTGGTGGCATAAATCGGCCATCCTTACCAAGGTGGCGATCACGTTCACAACCAACTTTTTTGGCAATAATAAAAGCGGTGATACACGCCAGACGGGACATCGCAACCAACCATCCAAGGACAGCTGCTATAACATCTCTATTACAAGTTTTCAACGGACACAAGGATTCAACAAAAGTAAAAGCCATGTTTAAAGCAAAAGTAATAATTACAATCAACCAGAATCCAACAGCAATAACTAATGGAACAGATATCCACTCCCCCCAATGTATTAATTGAGAAGAAAAAGGAGGAGACGGCACAATGGGGATTGGAGGAAAAAAAAAAGAAGGAAGAAATTCGAAAGTTTGGTGCCAAAGAAATTTGGGGCCCAAGCTACAGAATACAACCAACATACGCACAGGANAAAAAAGATAAATGTTTATTTTATTAATGATAGAAAATACATCGCACTTAAATGTTATCATTTCACCGTCAAATCCCGAATTAAAGAAAAAACAATGACAAGATATTCATGTAAAATATTTATGATGTTTAAAAGATGTAAATATTTTTCTTTGTTTGTTATTAATAAAAAGCAATAATTTTATTTTGATTTAAAGTTTTCGACATTGGACAAATAAATAACACACCAACCACTTAATAGCATTGTCGCTTGTATTTTTCTTATTGGTTTCAAATGCATTTTATCATTTTGTATTTGATCATCAATTGTTTTTTCATTTTGTCTCTTGTAAACAAATTTATTTGTTTTTGTCTCTAATTTTTTTGACACAATGGCAGTAATGAGTAATCCATTAAGTGTTGATGTCACGGATTAAGCACGATGACAAATTTATATTTCGAACTTCTTTGTTTAATGAAAAACCCAAAAAGAGAATGGAGATATACGTAATATACTTTTTCTAGGATTTTTCATCTACTTTCAATCAGAGGATAATAACACTATTTCTAGCCCATTAACTGATTGCTTTTTTTTTTTCCTTTAAAGAACACAATAAAAAAAATGCACATAAAAGTTGAACTCAACTATCATTGCCATTAACTCAGCCAACTAATCACTGGCTAATTAAAGAAAGGGACGAAATAGAAACTGTTTTTGCTGAATGGAATCGGGAAAAACTCCTGCTACCTCTGTCCGGAAACACTCCTCCTTCACCGATCGGTCCGTCTCCTCTAGTTTCCGGTGCGCTCGGTATCAGAATAAGTGGGGTGACCTGCAAGAAACACTCCGACGCTCAAGTCAGAATTGGCAAGTCTATGTAATTATCACAAAACAGAGAGTTTACCTTCTCCTTCGATTGGTATTTATATGGTTTCAGAGAATATTACCCATTAATTTACCTCTTAATGGCTTTCAATGTTAATCTTAAATACTCGACAACGACCGTTACCTCATTAATTACACATTCATGAGCATTCAACCGCTGTCTCCAAACAGTTTTAGAGACCCGCATCATATTAGACTAAAAAACCCGATCGAACATATTATATTTGAGAGATCCGATCGGACACGTCTGTGCACTCCCGGTCGGTTACTCCGCCCTCTGTAATAACATAAACTAAAAATTTCATGTGGAACTAAAATGAAAAAGCAAGATGTAAAAACTATTAGGGATAAAAACACAAGCTTTGACATGCAGTTAAAGTTTTACAGCAGAAGACATAGTATAACGGTCGTGAAGCTTGAACCAAGACGCAGAATAGGACAGAGAGCAATAACCAAGAGACAAAGGCTTAGGCCCTGTTCTCTTGAGTGGATTTGAGGGAATGGATTTGAGGGGATTTGAGAGGATTTGAAAATAATTTTTTTTATCGTTTTTTTGAGCGAATTTGGAGGTAAATGAGAGTGAATTTGAAAATAAAATTTGTGAGAATTAGTATAGAATTGTATTGACATGACATATTAAAAAAAATTATTTTTAAATTCACTCTCATTTACCTCCAAATTTGCTCAAAAAAACGATAAAAAAAATTATCTTCAAATCCCCTCAAATCCATTCCCTCAAATCCACTCAAGAGAACAGGGCCTTAGTAATAATAACTTTTGTCTCTCACATCACTTTCTGCTTATTTTGTTTCTAACCTCTTCTAAGGTGTGGTGTAGCCCCTGAAAACACCAGGTGCCCCCACACCCAACAAAATATGCCCATCGCCCATAACAGTACATTTTACAACTATAAACCACAATTCTATTATTTCAAGTTCAGCCCACAATCACTGCCGACCATAAATTGATGCTTAAATTTCAAAATCTAGATTAAGAAAAGATAAGAAGCATTAAAACCACTCATGCTTTTGTTGGAAACATGTCAAAATATTGTTTTGACTGGTTAAACACACCTATGGCATAAACACTAAACACAGCAAACAATCACATCTTGTTGGATTTCGCAAACATCGCTTTAGTTTTGACAATTTATATATACATATATATACATCACCTAACAATTTTAATTTTATCCTTTCTGTAGGGATATTCTATAATAGTGTTTTCTTTTCTATGTGATGTGAGCATATCAATAAATCTTAAACCAACTGGCAAATGAAGGATGAATTAATCAAAGTTGGTTTGGTGGCATAAATCGGCCATCCTTACCAAGGTGGCGATCACGTTCACAACCAACTTTTTTGGCAATAATAAAAGCGGTGATACACGCCAGACGGGACATCGCAACCAACCATCCAAGGACAGCTGCTATAACATCTCTATTACAAGTTTTCAACGGACACAAGGATTCAACAAAAGTAAAAGCCATGTTTAAAGCAAAAGTAATAATTACAATCAACCAGAATCCAACAGCAATAACTAATGGAACAGATATCCACTCCCCCCAATGTATTAATTGAGAAGAAAAAGGAGGAGACGGCACAATGGGGATTGGAGGAAAAAAAAAAGAAGGAAGAAATTCGAAAGTTTGGTGCCAAAGAAATTTGGGGCCCAAGCTACAGAATACAACCAACATACGCACAGGATTTAGCAGGTAAAATATGGGCTCCGACTCTGACAAAGCAAAGTCGAGAGGAAACTTGGGCAGAAGATACATCTTCTACAATTCTATATCATTGACGGGATCATGTTGGATTTGATCCTGGTCCTCTTTAAGACTAGACCTTCGCAACTCTTCTATGCTCCTTACCACTTCAGACATTGAAGGGCGCTTGTCTGGGTATTGTGCTGCACAATCAACTGCAAGTTGCAACAACTGAACCATCTCCTCTTCCACATTCTGATACCTAAGGAGCTCAAGATCAAAGACCTCAGAAGTCCACTCTTCTCTAACCACAGATTGAACCCATCTGGGAAGGTCTACTCCTTCCTCATTCAGGAGAGCATGGGTAGGTGCCTTCCCAGTCAGAAGTTCCAAGAGTAACACACCAAAACTGTACACGTCTGCCTTCTGAGACACCCTGCGAGGATCAGTCACCTCAGGTGCACGGTAGCCGGCGACCCGGTTGGGGGTAGAGGAGGGGCCAACGAGGTGTGCAAGGCCAAAGTCAGACACTCTGGCATCATATGACTTGGTTAACAGGATGTTGGATGACTTTATATTTCCATGAGAAACATTAGGCCCTCGTGAATGCAGGTACTCAATGCCACGGGCAGCTCCAAGCGCAATGCCTGATCTCACTTCCCAATTCAGTGGCGTCCTACCCGCCCCTTTGTTTCCTGTAATCAAATAAAGATCAGAAACACCACCCATGGTACCGTACCACAGTAGGTACACTAATGAGTAATGAATGAGCCTTGGCCTCAGGTCGTATTTCATACAGTTCCAATGAGCCTATGGGATTTGGAAGCCGTTGTTGAAATAAACAGTGAAAATTTACAACTTGAAAAAGAAAATAAAAAAGTACTTAGAACACAAATCAGTATCTGCTTAAAGCCTAGTCTAGTAATAGCAGGAGAAGGAGAGGCAATTCAGATAAACGACCATTCACGTGATCCATTGGGACCTAAAAGATATAGTGCGAAATCACATCTTCAATAACCCCATCAATATACATAAAAGAGGGAATGTAAAATGCATTTAAGATTCTAATTCCTAAAGCATGTCACCGCAGATGCAGAGAAATGAAAAATCACTAACGTAGCCCATGCCATGATGCATTGCCCAAAAAAGAAACTCAATTACAGTCAGTAATGATTGACCAAGAACTGGAAAAGGGCGAAATTGAGTGAAGGGATACTGAAAAGAGAGAAGGAATGGAAAAGCTGACTAACCATGTAAAAGTGCAGACAAGCTTCCCATGGGCATGTAATCATACACAAGGAGCTTCTCATCCCTACTGAAATAGAAAGCTCTGAGAGGAACCAAACTCTCATGATCCATTGCTCCCACCGCTTCAATCTTCTCCTTAAACTCCTTCTCAGAAATCGTGACATCCTTCAACCTCTTCACCGCCACCACCGGCCCTGCCTCAAGCACCGCCTTATACGCCGTCCCGAAAGTCCCTTTCCCCAAAACCTCCGCCGAAGCCCTGAGCAAATCCTCCAAATCGAACGCCCTAGCCGCATTCCCGAAAAACACCAACTTCTTCGCTGCCCCACCACCGTTCACTTCCGCCTTGTTCCCCGCCGAAACCGCAGCGACAGCCGCCGCAGAATTTCCGTTGGCATGACCACCGTTCTCGACATCCGGAATCCCCTTCTCCGCAAGAACCGGAGCATCGGCCTCAGGATGTTTGACAGTAGCAATGTCGACCGCGCTGGTCTTCTTGGCAGTTTTGCTCCGGCACAGGAAAATGAAGAGGAAGACGAGCAGCAGAAGAAACACGACCGATCCGACAACAATCCCCGCAATGGCGCCGGCAGATAACTTGTGGGAGGTGTGGCTGTTTGGCTTGGAGTTGTTGTCGACGGAGATAGGATCGGCGATATCTCCGGGGCAGAGAGAGAGTGGGCGGCCACAGAGGGAGTTGCCAAGAAAGGAATCCTGAGGGAATGTCCGAAGGTTGAGGGGGACAGAGCCGTTGAGGAGGTTGTTGGAGACGTTGAACTGATCCAGGCTCAGTTTGCTCAAGTTGGGGATTGGGCCAGAGAGCTGGTTGTTTTCCACAAACAGAGTCTTCAACCGGGTCAGGCTGTTGAAGTCGGTCGGAAATGGGCCTGAGAAGTTGTTGAAGCCCATGTTCAAGCGAACCAAGTCGGGTAACTCGAACAAGAACGACGGGATAGCACCGCTCAGCAGGTTCCGCTGAATGTACAGGTTCCGAAGGTTCACGCACTTCGCCAGATCTGAAGGCAGGGAACCCCGCAGCGCGTTGAAGCGGAGACTGAGGGTGCGCAACTGTGTCAGATTGCCGAATATTCCGACAGGGATTTGGCCGGAGAGAGCGACGCCGGGAAGGTGGAGCTCGACGACGTGGTCGCGCTCGCATTGGACACCGGCCCAGGTGCAGGGGCTGTCCCTGGTGGCGTTCCAGAAGAGGGTTCTGCCGCCGACCGCAGAGCGGAGAGCGAGCAATGCGGCTCGCTCGGCTGCCAGATCTGCATCTGCTGCTGCGAGCATGAGCGCCAGCGTGGCCGCCACAACCACGAGAGTGTGCTTGTGAGGCAGCATTGGTGAGTGGAGGCAACCTCAGCAGCAGGAGGAGGCGGCTATGGTCTGTTTGGATTTTGGATATAATTAGGAACGTATGAGATGGGAGAGGGAGCAGTGAGAGAGTGACCAGCCAAACAGACCCAGAAGCATAAGCACAGAAGATGCAGAAGAAGTTGGACTCTGCACTTTCCAAATAATATCTCTTTTTTAAATTAAAAGTCTTGGAATTAATATAATACTCCTCTGAGTTGGATTTCGATGCTCCTTAGCACATAACATAACCCTACCTCCCTTCCTCCCCGTATCTTTTTCGTATATCTACGTATTTACTCACTCTTCAATAAATACACTATTAATTTTATTTATACGACTAATTATTAGTTTTGTCACCACTAACTAAATCAATTAAGTCTAAAACTTAAAAATATTACAAATTCGTTAAGTATTTTAATGATACTGTTCTCTAAATAAAAGATTTATCTCAGTGGTGTTATGAAGAAAAATACTAGTTTAAAGTAATGGTATTTAAATTTGTGTAGTGGTGTTAATTAAAATATATTTTGTATAATGGTGATGGTCTAACTAAGGAAATAAAATATTTGAAAAGGAATTGAGTAAATCTGTGATACTCGGTTTGGTTAAGCGGTGGATTTATTAAAAGGAATGATGTCATACCACCACAGCACCCAACAACCAGATTCCCATTTCCTGGATACAAAATGTTCGAGAAATAAAGTGAATAATTCAACCCATCTTTGGTAAGTGTTATGTTTGTTAGATAAATTTTTTAATTGGATAATGATATTTGAGAAACATTATTTTTTATAACATTTTAATATTATCTAATCATTAATTTAATATATTATTTTTATTAGTTTAAAATTACTCTACAGTTAATAATAATAATCATAAATATTAATATGAATTAATCATATAATAATGAGACGTAAATGATATTAAAATGTTATCAAAATTTTATTATCATTCTCCATTGAATTGGAAAAGTTTGTAAGGTGTTGTTGGCTCAAAATCAGATAATTGATTAAAATAGCGGTTGGAGCTTCGCGTCGCTTATTGTAACAAGCTGTGTTTGATTATGAGTTAAGAAACCTATTTAACACGGTTTTTCACCTCTTCATACATACATACCTACATCATGTACACAACTCCAACACCTACTAAAACAAACACTTATATGTATAAGTTGTTTCTATTCACTTTTTCAAAATCTAATTATTAATGTTTGAAAAACAATTCTCGTTATTCTCATTTTTAACAAGTTTATTCAGGAAATATCAACAAAAAGTAATTGATGAGAGAGTTGGATAAATTTAAAAGTCTATGGAGGGAATGGGTTATTGAGAGTTGTTTTCATGGTGTACTTGCTAATGGTAATATTTGTTCTTGTTTTTTCACCACTTTTGTCTTCTTCGACCTCTCTGCTATCTTAATTCCACTGAAAAGAGAAATTCAACTCACTTTTGGATACGATAAATTATTATACTTTCATACAAATTTTAAGTGTATAGAGAAGAACATACGCATGCAGGAAGAGCAGCAAAAGTTAGCTGTTGCTAGGGCTATTCGGTTGGAAAAGCAAAGCCTGTCTTAGTGTCATGTCTGCTTTTCTACTCCCCACGCCACGCGACAAAGACACCATTCTTAATTTCTTCTAAAACTTTCTCTTATTAACAAAGCATTCTGATTAACCGAGTATGGTGGTTCATCTTTTCCTATTACTGTCTTCTTAATCACTCCATCCAAGTGTGGTAATTTATTAGTTAATACTTGTAACATACGTGAACTGCAAAATCAGTGAACTAATTAACATTGATTTGCAAGTTAATTACAAGCTTATTAGGTGTCGGCTGTGGCGTAATTAGCATGGAGTTGGATAGGACAGAGATGGGATAATTAGGGCCCATTGATCGGAAACGGTAACTGTAAGCCTTGTTTGGCTTGTCATGTCCTTTTTCCAAAATTTGACTTCTTCATTAGTAACCAAACGTTTTTATCAACCATGTTTCAACAATAACATCACTCCTACCAAATCACCGTGTAAATGAACTTCATTCGATTAGACACCATCAAGTACAATCTATTATTTTACACATTCAAATCCAACATGGAAGAAAACAATTTAATTAATTTTGTTCTTTTATTTTTGTTAATAACCCAGAAAGTAGAAAACTTTTAGGGGGGTAATCATTAAAATTACAATTAAAATTACTTGCAATGCACATAGGATTCTTGAACAGCAGTTAACTTTTTTGGCTTGTGAAAACAGTGCAATGACATTTCATTAATGGAAAATCGGTGAAATTTCTGTGGGCCACATATTCATCTTTTCAAAACCTTCATTGCATTTTAAACTAAGATGCCAGCCTCTACATTTTGAGATTTTTCTTATTATAAGAGAGAAATTAATAAATTAGTAAACAAAAAACTGCAACTTGTGCTTAAAAAATGACAATCGGTGATGGCTCCTAATCATTGCATCACATGACAAAGACTTTTGTAACTCTGTTGCATGTTCTCAATCGTTTTCACCAATTTTTCACCAATTTACTGCTTTATTTTGTTTTCACTTACTGTTTTTGGTTTATCAGTAAAATTGTGGTCCTATTTTTGAAGAATGAAAAGCATTGCAACCAAGTTTAGCAGATTGCATGTTGGAAAGAAAGTACCAATTATTGGGTCATTTCATTGTTCGTGTTGCCTTTCTTGCTGGATAACATGTAAATTCTTTGAGTTGCCCTCAAATGCTTATGCAGATTTGGCCAATCCCAAAAATCAAAACCAGCTTCACACGCATCCTAACAACTGATATTAATCTAAAACTAGTCTTTGCAGATTGAATACAGAACTCAAATGTATAAAGATTCTCCAAACATGCATTACCAGCTTGTATAAAGATTCTCCAGCCTTAACTTTGGATGCTACAATCAGCAAGACATTTATATTTGGGAACATAAAGAAGGCATATATGTCTGGTCACAATAAAGTTTAGGAAATCAAAGTGTACAAAAAACAGCTTTTGCTGACACAGATAAACAAGCACAGCGAATTACTGAAAAAAAAAAAACTCAAATATGAAAGGGTTTTATTTTATGTCAAACTCTTTGTTCGATAAAAAGAATAATTAAAGTTACTTTTTTTTCTGCTAAAGAAGAATTTATCGAAAGAGCCGAAGCAGACCATCGTTCCTTACTTTAGTTGTGATGAGGTTTGAGTGGATGAAACAGATATACAGGTGTGATTATAATTCGCAGTATAATCTATCTCTTTTATCTTTTACATTTTTTCTTACTTTTGCTGAAGGAATAATCATGAATTCTGTGTACAGATATGATTATTCTTTGAACTTTAGTAAAAGCAAGTCTTAGAAAACTATTTCCATACACACGTATTTCCCTCTTCCATTGAAAAATGAGAAAGAAACTACGCATGAAAGATCTTTCTGAGGTGTTTCATCCTATTGACATTTTAAATATTGACTTTTTAGGATACCAAAATTTATTCAAAACAATTGCCTTTTCTTTAACATATGTTTTTGTTATACCAATATAAGGGTAAGTCGATAATTTCACGATCCCATGAGATCCAAGTTGAAATTATGGGGGTGTAGAAAGAGATGTCCATCTTCGCTCAAAACCTGAAAAGGAGCTCGAAATTGAAATGACGGGTGTACACTGTAAAAGTCCAAGTTTCCATAATTGGATCATCAATCGTTGACTTTTCTTTCCTCACGTTTTATTTTGACTCATTTCTGGACCAAACCTTACACATTGAAACAATCATTCACTAACCTTATTCTTAGTCGCCAAGGAAAAAAAATAAGGGATTGATGGCGAATACAATTACACAAAGAGAAATAAATAAATAAATAAATAAATAAATGAGAAATAAACAATTCATTTTTTTTCTTTTAAAAATGTGAAAATAACTATATTTTATATATTATTGTTTACGTTGTCCTACATTTAAATTAATTTGTGATATGAAATCTTGAATTACAGTGA